GGAAGAAGCGCCATAGAACGGAACGAGCTGCGGACGAAGAGACCGGGGATAAAGAAAGGAGAGTAGGCTTACCCGGGCTGTTGGAGATCGAAGCCGCCTTATAGCGTGCCTTTTCGATGGTCGTACGAAGGCCTTAAGGGATAAGGCCTCTCTCTCCTTCGCCTCTTCTTTCATTCGCGCTTTCGTTCCTTTCGAAAGAACCAGCCCCCCGGAGGGGTACGTAAGGTACGTTAGTTTCGAGTCCTCCTTACGGCCCACTGGGGGCTGCATTAAAATGCCTCGAATTGTTTACTGCTCGCCAGCGCGAGCAGCTCGCTGTAATATCCACTGTAAACTACGCTTGGATAAAACTCACCCCTTCCGAACCTCCCCATTCTTCTTCTTCTTCTTCTTCTTCTTCTCCTCTTTCCTCCTCTTTCTCTTCTTTATCCTCGGTCGCAACGCCTCTCGTACCACACCTCTTCCGCCTCGCGAGCCAACTAGCCTCGCCACGCAAGCCTTCCGCGGCGGAATTATTTATAAAATTACGCGGACCCCGTACGAATGCGGGACGCGAAAGTTTGTCTATAAAGAGGATCGTCGTCTGCCCCGTCGAATTCGCCCCGCCACGGTTTTTCTCTCGTTCGCGAACATGGCGACCAAGCCGGCGAGATGCGTCGATTATGGCTGCATGGAAGTTATTTTGGCAGCGGTCCCGCGGAAACAACGAATTCGCTCGTTCGAGTGCTATTTTCTTCGTTAATCGAACCGGAAGGAGCGGCACGGAGTAATTGAAGAACGGGTCGTGACCGAGTTCGCGTATAAATGGCTCCGCGGAATGGAATCACGCGGAGGATAAGTCGGCGCGACTGGATGGTTTATCTGGCCAACGGATCGACGGAACGATCTCTCGAGAGGATCCGAGAGAGCGAACACGGAGAGGACGAGACGACGGCGGAGATAACGGGGGAGGGGGGACGATTGTCTCCCGGGGGTGGACAGATTTCTGGACGAGCGCGAAACGTCGAACGACACGGTTTTGCCGGTTTTTCCGACACGCGGTAGAGCGGCGGTTTATGTCGAAAATGGCAGGAAATAACTCGTTACTTTGATTTCTTTGTTCGGTGCGCGGTGCACCTTCGTGCACCTATAGTGAACGGGGAAGATCGATACTTGTTCGTTCCACGCATGTAAACACCGGCTCGCGTTTTGCAACGGGCCAACGGCCGTTTTGTTAAACTCGAGCCCGAACTTTTGTCGTAAACTATACGCTTTATGCGCGGATAGAGAGAAAGCGCGGCACGCATCTGTACGGGACGATTAGGCGGTGCAGGGTGAAAGAGGGGGTGGAAAGAGAGAAGGAGAAAGAGGAATGTGGAACGGAGGGAAAAGGAGGATTGGAATGGAGCGACGACGAGGGAACGGGACAGCGTGTATCCGGGCGAAAGAGAGAAAGGGAATGGGAAAGAGGAAACGAAGGGTGTGCCGGGGGTTGGTTTCAATTAGGAGGCAGTAACTCTCCCAGGCATTGTTCATTTCACTCTAGATTTGTATTCCCCGTTTGTTTGTTCCCTTTGCATTTGCGTTAACCTGAGCAAAAGCGAGCCGCCATGCGCGTATACGCAATCAGTCAGAGCGGAAAAGACGGGACCGAAGCGCGCGCGAGGACGAGAGAGAGGGAGAGAGAGAGAGAGAGAAGCCGCGTGATCATTCCGCTCGGCATCATCGTTTGGATTTTTCTCCTGAAAACACGCTCTCTCGGTGCCGTTTGTTCGAAAACTGCGCGCAGAAATGAGTTCGAACGGGCTGATGAAACGTTAAATGTCTCGATCAGGAGCGTTCGAAAGACGCGAACAATGCGAGCAGTCATTTATCAGCGTTTCAGCGCGGAAAGTAGGAAAAAGAAAATCGGCGCCAGGGGGTAAAATCGATTAAAAGGTACGACGGTGGAACGCGAGGTCCTGCGAATCGTTTAAAACCATCGGTATACCCGTTTCGTTATATACCTACAAACGTATATATATATATGTACTCGTTCATCCATGGCGTACGGGGAAACTAATATAGAGACTTATACGCTATTTTATGCGTTTATAGGAGGCACCTTGGGTTCGAATATTTCCTCGACGAGGGCTGCGAGCCTCGTAACGAAATTCTCGACTAACTTCGTTCCGCACCTGTATACTCTCTGGCTCCTCGTTCTTCCCGTTCGAACTCGTAAGAAGTTTCGTTTACGTCCATATGCCGAAATAAACTGAATTTCAACCGGTGATTATTCGTTGGATCGCGAGCTCGCGCCCGGCACACTTGGACGCTTTGGGACCTACCTTACCGCGAATAAACGCAAGCAGGCAACGGCATTCCCGCCAAGGTTTAACGTTTCTTCGAATACGCGCCGTAAATGCGGACACGCGGTCGAAAAGAGGGCGAAAAGGGGGCGAAAAGGGGGGTCGAAAAGTGGCGTATCGCGTGTGACGACGAGCGAGAAAAATCGACGCGGGATAGAAAGCGGGTATCGATTACTCGATGCGAAACAGTCGGCGTGCAATTGGAATTTTGTTATGCGAAACGTCAACGTACGTAGTTTGGCCGATGCGTGGTGACGTGAATCGATTCGGGCAAACGTTATCACCGATGACGTACGCATTTCTACGTATCTGGAAACGAGGTTGCTCGTTGGAAGATCCCAAGGATAAAAACGATAGCAGGTAATCGCGGGGATGATCGCGATCGAGCCCGTGTCTCGGACATTTCACCCCGTCCCCGGCAGAGTTGGAAAATTTCCTTTCCGCGTAGCCGGTAGACGTTTGCTCGCGAGTCGGAATTAATAGTCGCGACTGGAAGCAACCCCTTAAACCCGGCAGTGGTAAACGGCAGCTCGACGAAGAAGGGAGAAAGAGAGACGGCTGCGAACGACTAGCTAGCCCGGCGAAATGAAAGCGAGAGCATTTTACGGGAGAATCAATTCTCGCCACGAACGTACACGGGCAAGGAAGTCGAGATTACTCCTTGTTCCGTTCTCTGATTCCGCTGGTCTTTTCTCCCTGCCCGAACCGGCAGCCTCCGCAACCCGAAGCTTCTTCCTTTGCGTCGAAACGCCGAGTTATCAAGGCTAATTTTTCGCCTTTGTCGCATCCCTCGGTGGCCACCAGCCGGTTCGTTACTCGTGTTTAGCCGGTACTGTTTTTAATAACCTAATGGCTCTTACGCGGTACATTATGTCGGTAGCATCCCTTCTCTAACCGTTCAACGGCCCCCTGCTACCGCCACCTCCCTTTCCACCTTTTTCTCGTGCCTTCGCTCTTTTATTTGCGATTTTTTCGTTGAAACGACAAAAATATCCGGTCCTTCTCCTTCCTGCTACTCGCCTGCTTGCTTACTTGCTCGCGGCATGCGAAACTTTTGTCCGAGTAAAAAAGGGTGAAAGGAACGTGTGGATGCGGAATGGGGCTCTGCTGGAAGATGCAGAGGGAGACGAGAGAGAGAGAGAGAGAGAGAGAGAGAAACACGGAGAGTGGCTTTCCTCGAATCGAACAAAAATCTTTTACGGTTCCACCCCTCGGTTCGAACGATCGGCCGTGGAAGAAACGATCGCTTAACTCTTCGTTCTTTGCGTTTTCATCGAGAGGAAATTCACCGTGCTCCCTTTCCTTTTCTTCTTCTTCTTCTTTTTTTTTTTTGTTTTCCTTCTTCCTTTCTTTCTTCCTTTTTTCGGCGCTGAAAAGAGGGGGCCGAAGGCAGCGAATCTCTTTGTCGTAATTAGCCCCAAGAGGGTACCGAACCGCGTCGACGTTGAAACGTTTAAATCGATCGTTATCGTTTACACCCCGATATCCTTTTGCCCCCCCCCCCCCCCCCCCCCCCCCCC